ACCCGCACAACTCCTCAAGGTACGCCTCAGAGCCGAGTCTTCTCGCTCACAGGACCCCAGACGTCGACGCCCAACAAGGAATCGTCAGCTCGCAGATGCCTTCCTCTACTAGAAAACTCGTCCCGGCAGCAGGATATTTGTCCAGCCAATAATTGCGGCCGTCTTCGTTACGTGGGTACCGCACCGGTCGACTTAATAAATCTGAGTCATAATGAGCCTCCACCTCGCTACGTTTACGCAGAAAGCGGCCTGGAGTCCATGCCGATGATGTCCGGATCGCCCAAGTATCACGTGGTGCCGGCCGATCAGAAGAATTATCAAAGCGTTGAGAGCGCGTTTATAGCGCGCACCGCCGTTGTAAGTGATAATGACGCAGATGATGACGCAGATGATAACGTGGAATAATCACTTGTCTAACAAAAATGCAATTTTTCCTAGGTACCACCGTTATCACCGCCAAATAGTGACGCGAACACGACTTTGGCAAGTGGCATGGAAAAAAGCGAGAGAAAGAGCGCGCCAATCCTGCTAATACTGGTCGGTCTTTTGACGTGTGGCCTCGCTCTCTACCTATCCTGGTCGCAAGGACGAAGGTAGAATTTTCATAATCCTTCATTTTTTAAAGCATTTTGGAAGGAAAAAATTTTTTAAACAAAAATTATAATTATATTTAGCATCAACTAAAACTGCAAACGCTTGAACACCTCAAAGAATGCATTACTTATAAATATATATTTTCGATAGTTTTACAATATTTTTTTTCGATATTTAATAACGAAAATCTGGGATTTTAGATACTACTTCGATAGCGCAGTTGGCTGCGGTGCCTGTTGCGCTTTAGCGGGTGCATGCAGGAGTCTACGAAAAACTTGGACAGGACTCGGTCTGGCTGGACTAGCGGCACTGAGTTGCGCCGGTCTTCTGCTGCTAGCCGCTAAATCTCCGAAGGATGGCACACCGCTCCACGACATCACAGCCGGTGCCTTGTGCGGAGTGTCAGTTTTAGGCGCTGGTCTCGCCCTGTTGGCCCTCTTGAAGCCGAGATGCAGTTTCGGACGTCATAGACGAGTGCATTCTTGGATACCACGATTCTCCCCTTAGCTTACGTCGCTCTTGATTGTTAAATGTGACAATAATTATATGCCTCTTAGA